GTGTTACTGTGTCTCCTTGAAACCTTGTGCCGCCCTGGATGTTTGGTGCATGCTGCTGCAGTTCTTAGTTCAGTGTCAATTTATTGTCCTTTGTGGTGGAACCAGGTGGTAGGATCCCGTCATAACCCCTCCATCCAGGGGTTCAGGCTAGCCTCCTGCTCCTGAAGGACTCTCTCTGCTTCCCCTTCCTCTGCAGCTGGCCCATCCCACACAGCATTTGCCTGGCTTCCCACGGGGGTAAACTCGCCCATGGTCCCCCACGCAGCTGGCTCATTGTGGGTGCCCGACGGTTCTGAGCTCGTTGCTGATTGATGTAGCAGAGCTGGGTATCTTCACTCCTGAGTCCCCCTGCCATGCAGGCCAGGTAGCAGTGAGGTGAGGTTTATCTTGAACCTGTAAACCCTGGTTGTGGCTTTCCTCTAGAGAGACTCCCAACCCTTAGTCACTTTTGAGCCTCCAGAATGTCAAAATGCCACGTTACAGAACCATCATGGTTCCATTTACATCTAAATTATACTGATATTGTGCCTGTCCCCAATGGGACTTGGGCACCTCGGTAGGAAAAAGACCTCCACAAGACACTCCCAGAGTCCTCAGCATTGATCAGTTTGCTCCCTTCAAAATGCCACCCTGGTATCTGCTGCTAGGGCTGCTTTGTATGCCGGGATGCAGAGCTCAAGCTGACTGCAGGTGGGCAGGCCTCTCTTGGTCTATGTATCCACTCATAATCTTTATTCTCTGCCCTATTGCAGAGCTATGCAAACATCCTGCCTCCCTGGAGACTCTCTGCATAGAATCCAGACCTCTGCTTTGCCTCACGTTGCAGGAGAAGCTCCTCTCTTACTATAACAACCACGTCGCCATCCCAGAGCCGGAAGCAGCCCTGGGGAGGCAGCTTGCAAAGGATGTCTGTGTGGAACTGCAGAATTTCCTGCAAAACAAGTACCCAGAACTGCCTTTCGGCAGGATGGTTCTCAGCGGTTCCCTCCACAATGACCTCCAGGTGGTTGCTGCCGACCATGTTGACTTCCTGCTGCCTATGGCACTTGAAGCTGCGCTCTGGAAGCTGATCCCTGGGGAGGACACTGTTGTGAAAACCCCCCAGTTCTGGATGATTAGACGGACCAACTTGGAGTACTTCCCGAGGGGGAGCAGTCCCTGGGACCGATTCCTGGTGGGTGGGTACCTCTCGTCCAATGCGCTCAGTGAGACGATCCATAAAATACTGGAGACCTCCATCAACTGGCCTGCCATAGGCAGCATGCTGGAGTGCATCATCAGACCGACGGTGGCTCCTGAGGACCTGAAGCTGGAGGTCGAGCATTGTCAGGTTCAGTTGAATGTAGCCCTCTATCCAGTGGTCAAGGTGGAGGACAAGGTTCTTCTGGCCAAGCCTCCCAGGGGACTTGTGGAAAACCTCTGGCAACAAAGCTTTTATGCAGCTGAGGTCTCCAGACTCAAAGATCTGGATGCTGGAGACTCGGGGGTCAGGCAGCTCTGCCTCAAAATCTGGAAGGCGGTCTGCAGAGACCACCCCTCCTTGGGCAGACTGACTGGCAGTCACTTGACTCACGTCCTCCTCCACCTCAGTGAAATGGAGCTGGACTGGGCAGAGGCCACCTTGGCCGCTAGGTTCCAGCAAATGATCGAGGAGCTGGTGGGCTACCTGGAGAAAGGCTTTCTCCCTTGCTATTTCAACAGCAGAATCAACCTGTTCCATGAGCTGCTGGAAGAGGAAATCGATGAGATGGGGTA